GGGTAAGACAGCCCTCAAGCATTGCATTAAGAAGGTCGAGAAAACCCTCAGACCCCTTCCCCACCCATACACAGCAGCACCATAGCCCATGTGAGAACGACCACGATCGGGGCCGTGCCTTAGACCTGTGCTTTGGCATGGGACAGACGAGATTTTTTTAACCCTAGCTTGAAAATTCGCTCCCTCGGGGAGTCGAACCAAGGACCTGAGGAGTGTTACTCAAGCCACCTAACCAACTCAGCTAGAGGACCATAATACACAGAAATAACATGAATCTAATTCAAGAATTATCCACAAGTAATGACACAAAATGTTGACGAATGTAGCGTCAAAACTAACCTTGTGATTTGTGAATATTATAAATCAAAAAATATATTGTAGCCAATGGGACAAGTAGTTAGCTCCTAGCTTGTATATATCTATTACTTCTGCACTCCATATTATTTCAGAAAGAAGCAAAATATAAAGACATCACACATATCAGAAAGAAACAAAATGTGAAGACTCAACACTAAGCCCAGGTTAAAAATTGTATTAGCTTTGCCTGTTTGGGTTTCCACCCCTGCTTTTCTCAACATGGTTACTCACGGTTACGCATGTTCCAAGTATTCCCTGACTCCAAATTCCAAAATAGGAACACGATACACATGGACATCTAATGCTACACCATATTGTACAATTCATGCTCAGAACTTGTGGATCACTGAAAGGAAAACAGTCATATTGTCTGGTACAATAGAAGTTCAAATACAGAACATGGTTAAGAAATCATATGAAGATAAAGTCTACCTGGATAAGATGCCACACACATTGCCAAGCGGACTTTGAGAAAACAGGCGCCATGCCCTCGACCCATCTATAGATCAAACAAACAATTATCATGTCATGCACGGCTCTCAATCATATTTGTCACATGCATATACCATGGTTGGTAAATAGTAAGACAATTCTGGTGAAAATCGATCATGCAGTAAAAATATCAAGAGCTAATCAGCAATTCTGTTGTAGCATAAGGAAGGGTTCAAGAAAGAAATACCCAGAACAAGGCGGTCCTTCTCTAGAACACTGTTTGTTAGCCCGGCTAACTCTTCTGTCAAAATACACATCGTGTTTGATTTAGTTATGATGTAACCACACATTTCCAAAATAAAAGTTGCACTACATGAACTTACCTATGAAAGGTCCCTGTTTTTTTACGAACAGTTATCCGGTGATGAATTTCAGAAAGCTTAGAGTCAAGACCTGGTTGTGATATCTCCAGCCCTTCTGATCTAACTATATTTAAGTATCTGAAAGGAATCAATGCATTAGCTAAATTGGTGCAGAGAATGGAAAGATCAAACAAACACATTTGGTGTGTGCGCGCGCACATTTGTGTGTGGAGGGGGTTAGCATAATATGCCGTTTCTTCACAGATTTCTCCTATATAGAACACAAACTTAAGCTGGATATTTTCAAGAAATTGTTTGCTGCCTAGCACATACATGGCAGGCTGGCACTGGCAGCAGAAACATCCAGAAAACTGTCATTTTATACTAGTAGTTGCCTGAACCATGATTTAAAAGTCCAATAAACAGAACTCTGATGTGTACGTCTTTACTCTTTTTTTTGTTGTTGCTAGGCAATGATAAGTTTGACTACATAAGGTTGGTATCATGTAATACAATTACACAATACCTTCTCGGGTTAAAGTTATCAACTTCCAGATCTTCATCCCAAAGAAAGATGTACTGGTACATGGACACAACAGAAGGATGGAGGAACCTCTTTGCAAACCACCTATAAAAACAGATACCTTGTCATCTTATCTTAAGCTAAAATGAGAGACAAGGCATGCCGAATTTCAGTGCAAAGGAGGAGATACCATACCATTTAGTCTGGTTAGAAGCAGCTATATGTATCACACTTTTGCTCCATGGTAGATCATTCCACCCATTGACATTCCCATCATAATGGAACAATATAGCTGTAAAATTTTCTGGAAGAAACTGAATAATCAAGAGTCACATGACAATTTTACGTGCAAATTACCGCTTACAGAGGTGTAAATGAAGTACCTTCTTCATAATAGCGTCCACACTTTTTTTCTGATTTATACCAGCAGCAATAGCAATCAAAAACTGATCACTTTGTTTAGACTTCTGCTAGGACAAAACACCCACAGAGCATTAAATAACTAAACAAATAAGATTCTGTAGTTATGAGGTGGGAACAGCTAATGCTTGTTGAGTTTGAAAAGTGAAACCAACAGAAATATTGTACTGGAATCAAAGTTCGTCAGGTATATATTGTACTTAACTAACCTTTGACTGCGCACTTGTCAGCCACAGTGGCTTCAACTCCATATCGGAGTTAGACTCCACTATACCATGGGGTAAATAACCAATCCTAGCCTCCGCTTTTTGAGGCACCTTAACAGCGTCTCTGTCAGACACCTGATATTTACATTGGAGGCGCAAATCATATCTTAGCAACAGAGGAAAATCTGCCTCTGGTTAATAGGGGGAAAAACAAATCTTGTGACTTTTGATGGAAGGAAATGTGTTCACATACTGTCACTGTATCAAATGGATGAGATTTTGCTTCCAACTGTAAAGTTGCATAATCACATCAGATTAATCTTTTATGTTCAGAGAACTCTGTTATACAATAAACCAGGGGATATTGATTGTTACCGATGTCTGCTTATGTTGAAAGTTAGCCATATTGTACACCAGGAATATGATTATCACGCACAGGACGAACAGATGCAACTGCAGTTTCATCTTAGGACACCTATCGCCCCGCTTACCATTCTGTACAATCAAAAGTAGGTAGCAATATAGTATCCTGACCTCACACTCAACCAACCTTCTAAGGGTTCAGAAAATGTAGATGCCACTAATAAGTAAGGAATCATCAAAAGAACACTAAGCAAACTCACCTTATCTTTCAAGACACTAGTTTTCTGTGTACAACTGGAAACAGATGGATCGCCTTCTTATGGTGTCAAGAAGCAACTCAAGCAAGTGAGGATCATTTCATGACGCCCTGCTTGCAGGATAGCAGGCCAAAAAACAGCGTAACAAACAGTATCATTAATTTTATAATGGAAAGATTGGCGTGTTGCTTAGTTCAGGCACGCCACACAGAACGAAGGAGAAAATTCTTACAAGATATAAAAAGGAAAGACTAAAAGTATTGTCCGGTCCGACTGCATTGCAAAAGGACCATGATATTGTTAAGCGTTTACAGTTCCCCACATCCCTTTCACAGACGGGACTGAGCAAACATCTCACACAGAACACTGAACACATCGACCACCACCCACTCAAACAACCTTAAGGGCCCGTTCGTTACACCAGGAATGACCACCTGGAAAAATTTTTGGCCGGAATGCTAGTTAAAATTGTATATACTTCATGAGTGGGATTAATTCCTGGGCTGTTTCTACTGTAACCGAACGGGCCCTAAGTCAACAGGTTCCAGGCACACATCACGTAAAAAAAAATACTTTAGCATCTCTTTTCTCCATATTTTTGCTGGTAAAACGGAAAAGGATAGGGAGCTAACTAGGCGGTGAAATCTCGAACGAATAGATGAACGTCCGGTGCAAGCATCATGCGTGATCACGCTTTTGTTGTTCGGAGTGCAGCAGTGCCCCCTTGAAGCAAATTGACAGCAAAGGGGTGTGACGCACGCATCAATGACGAGTGGAGCAGGAACACTGACACACCGGCCGCGACCGAATTACACTACACTTGATTAACCCACCCCTCCAGACTCCAGTTCCAGGCTTCCAGCTCGGGAGCCACCTCGCGACAACGAGGGCGTCCCAAGAGATCGTTTCCCAAATCCGAATTACAGGTAGGAGCACCCAAGTCCCAAGGCACGAGCAGAACCAATCCATGACATACCAGGTGTAGCACGCGGATATTTGTACTATCGGATTGAGTGAGAACAAAACGAATTACCGCGGCGGCGGGAGGAGCCGGAGATGATGCCGCGGCGGGCGGGAGGCCTCGGAGCTGAGCGCGCAATGGGCGGTGGTGGAGCCGTGGGGGCGCCTCCAGCCACTCGTCAGTCGTCACACGGGTGGGCGCGTTGGCAGCGACGGCACCGGTGGTGCTGATTGTGTCGTGGGAATGGCTAACGAAACGTCTCGCAGTGCCGGAGGCCGGAGGGATTGGGAAAGGTTGGGACGTGGACGGGGACGGGTACGGGCGGAGGCGACCGCGGGAGGGAGCGAGAGAGCCCGAGAGGAACAGCGCGACAGCGACGGTCGGGTCAGAGCCTCAGAGAAAACGCGACGGGTGGGCGCCTCGCCTAGTTCCACACGGCGTCCTCCGCTCGGGCGACGAGCGCGCAGGCGGCGCAGCTGCCGTTTCGGCCACGCCCGCGACCGGGTTTTCCGCTCGGTTTGTTGGTTCCTTCTGTCACCCTCGCCTCTAGTGCGCGTGTGCCGTGTGCACGACGGTGACGCAAGGGCCACGAGCGGATGCATGCCAGGAGAGTGACGCACGGCAAGCGGCCCACCACCAGCCCAGCACTGCCTCTTTTCTTCTCGCTGCCAGCCTGTTCGGCTGGTGCTGAGATTATTACTGCTGACTGATTTTGGTGTGAGAGAAAAATACTGTTTTGACTAAAATTTATGATCGTTTACGAAGCGAACAGGGCGAGCCGAACTGTTAAGTCCTGCAGTTTCTCCTACTGGTTCAGTCTGACAGATAACTGTCGGTGAAGCATCAGTTCACATGGTATAACAGCTTAAACTATTAAGCATTACACAATCAGACAAGTATAGCCTAGCTCGGATAATCTCTACAGGAAAATGAGGGTTCCCTTCTAACTGTCCTTACTCCTTACAAAACAACATCAAAAACAGCTAGCCCCTTCCTGTTACATCAGTTTGAATACTGGGACAAAAACTTTTTTGTCAGTTAAACAACACTGGAAGGGGCCAGCCAATGATATATGGTTAAGCTGTACACAGTTTCACCGGCATTGAGCTGATGGTAGCTTCACCGCCGGCTCTTCTTGCCCCCTTTGCTGGGGCTATCCTCCTGTGCTGCCGCACTCCTCTTCCTGCCTTTGCTGGGGCTATCTACCAGTGCCCCAGCGCCCCTTTTCCGGCCTTTGATGGGGCTATCTTCCTGCGCCTCAGCAATCCTCTGCCCACTCTTTGGAGGCCGACCCACACCTCTCTTATTGGCTTGCTCATTTCTCTGTATAGTCTTTTGATCAGCCAGCACATCACTGCAAGGTCTCTTGCCATCTCCTTCCTTGGCAGTAGCGTCCCTTGAAGAAACCTTGATTGCCCTTGCATCACCAGGGCCAGGGCGTCCAGGCTGCAGGGCTCGAGCATTCTTCTTTACTACAGGGGCACCAGCTGTTCTGGTCTCTCCATGGCTTTTCAAGAACAAGCTTGCACTCTGCTTCACTGTTTTGCATGCAAAGTCACGAAGCTCAACCGCAGCCATGTGCTCCAATGTAGCCTTCGGGTAGAAGGCTATTACATTATTGATGAAAATGAGCATATCTCTCAGAAGCTCCTTGGTGCAAGAGATTGCGCCACTCTTGACCTTAGAGTGAAGTATTCGGAAGTCCATATGCCGGCGAATCATCTTCTTATATCTAGCTCTTTTCCTCTGTATATAGACAAAAAGGAAAGGAGTCAGATGAAATTCAGTCCATAAGTGTTCATGCTATTTCACATACCTTGAGAATGATTTGATGGAACAATCAATTTGAGAAGTAACATAATCAACTATAGCCAGCTAGTAAGAAAATAACCATAATTAAAAACCCACAAAAATCTGAGTTGAGTAACTAGCAGGAAAAAAAAAGCGGAACCGTTTTAATAGCAGTTTTAAAATTATTAGCACCCACATGAAGTATCCCATCTCTCAAATGACCTAAGGAGTCATTATAGTCAACATAAGTCCTATATTAATCAGTGGAGTATATATACAGATAATTTAGACCATCACTTAGGTACTGCAAATAGAAAAGTGATGAAATTCGGTGAACCCATCATACCTGAGTATCAAGTTGGCGTTGCAACATTTTGCAGTCATCTTGAGTCGATATAGTATTCAAAATTTCTGCCAGCTTCAGTTTAACTCTCTCAATCACAGGCTGGCCACATTCTGCCTTTGGAGATCTCAAGCCCTTCTTCATAACATCAGATCCTGCTTTGGGAGTTTTCAAGTTCTTTATAACATCAGGTTCTACTTTGGAAATTTTCAACCCCTTCTTCATAACATCAGATTCTGCTTTAGGAGTTCTCACGCCCTTCTTCATCATACCAGATTCTACTTTGGGAGTTTTCAAGCCCTTCTTCATTATACCAGATCCTACATTTGGAGTTTTCAAATCCTTATTCATCACACCAGATTCTACCTTTGGAGTTTTCACACCCTTCTTCAGAACAACTGATTCTACATTTGGAGTTTTCAAGTTCTTCATGCAGCCTTCAGACGAACCCTCCCTCTGTATGCATGCTGTAGATGTAGGTTCACCATCCCCACTACTATCACCACCTTTCAGAAGTGTCCTTCTAGCTCTCCTTCCTCTTTGTTTTCTAGAACCCCAAAGCAAGCCATCTTTGGGACTGACCTTTTCAACTTGGGCCTGGGGATATGACTCATCTGGTGATGGATTGATAGCTTGAATTGAATCAGTATCACACTGCTGCACTTTCTGAGATTTCTGACTGTTGCTTGCTTCCTCTGTGAAACTAGCAGCTGATGATCTATCCCTGGACGTTTCTTTACCTGAGGAATTAGTATCTGCTGTATTTTCGGAGCGCGGACATGATTCAGTATGACTGGTGCGGCATTCAGAACTCCCATCAACATGTTTGCTATTGCTGAGGCTTTGAATAACAGATTGGAGAGATCTGGAAGAGTAAAAGGAAGATCACACATTACCAAAAAGTTGGCAAAGTATCAAACAATGACTTGCTTGGATGAAAAACAATCAACAAAGATTGTATCTGGGATAGTCAACAATAAGAAAAAAAATATAAATAGCTCAAGTGAACTTCAAAAATGCTCTGTGAACAAATTGTCACTAACCCAATAGAATTTTCCGACTTCTCCAAATCCCTTTTGAGTTCAGCAACTCTCTGCTTACGAAGCTCTTCAAACCAAGCACTGCATTGAAGCAAATAGGATGATCGGAACTCAGAAAAATATAAAATGCTTCACATCAGAGTTATCTATTCAACTGCAGCCATCTGAAAGGCAGTGCAATGCCTGCATTGTTGTATACATAACTTATTGCTTATGGGATTGAGAATCCAATCTTAAAGCTGAGGTTGTTGATCACTAAGTGGTCTATGTTTTAGTATTTTCCCTCTTTATTCTCTTCCTTGTATATTATCCATTCTTCAAACTGAGGTTGGTTATGTATACTTGTGAAGTAGTAAGATGCAAATTTAAAAACTTGAATCACCAACTTGCGAATAGAAAGAAGTGCAGGCATTTCTGATCGTTGAGTACAGAAGCAGACATGCTGATTAGCAACTACTCCCACGTTCCAAATTATAGTTCACTTCAGTTTTGCCCTACGTCAAACTTCTCTAATTTTGACCAAGTTTTTAGAGAAATACATTAGCATCTACAAGTTCAATCAAATGCATTGTCAAGACAAATTTCATGAAGAATTTAATAAAAATAATTTGATATTCTAGATGTTGATGTATTTTTCTACAAACTTGGTCAAAGTTATACAAGTTTGACTTAGGACAAAGGCACAAAGCTAAAGTAAACTATAATTTGAGATTGAAGAAGTATTGTTTAATATGATCAAAATGTAGCATGCTGCTTACATGTTATCATTTAGCACAATAGCAAAGACTCTTCCCGACTGTTATGTTTAAAGATTCACAAAGTTCTTAATCAGCTCATAAAAAAGGCTCAAAATTCATATTACTTCAACTTCTCTAGATATATAATGATATGCAGTAGTTGTTCTATGCCACTCATCCAATTTGCAAGGTCATGACAAGAAGGTACAAAGTATGAACATCACACGCTTACTTGCATGCAGAGTACCGCAACTGTATCTCTGCAAATTTTGCTTCACATTCCTGCAGATATTAACAACTGTAAGCAAAGAACTGGTATGTAACTCTAATAACAACCACTTGATCAGTCTGCCATAACTTACAGATGATAATAAACAGTTGAACTGCAATGCAATCAGAAAGAACTTGATGCGTAAAACAAACTGCACAAAAAACGCACATTGCTAGGCTAAAGGTTCTATTACATTTCACTGTTGGGAAAAAGGCAACATAGTAGTAGCACCCCAAAAATGCCTAGGAAATTATACAGCAGCGACAACAGAGCCTTTTAGTCCCAAGCAAGTTGGGGAAGGCTGCCTGGGAAACTATCTTGTTTCTAAGAAAATAGTTGTCACCTAATAGTGTGCTCCTCGTGTGTGAACTTGAAAATACTCAAATAGCGCACATCATTTCAATGGCTATAAGAACATGTAAGCAGAAATTTGTGCACAGACCATGCAATGTGCATTGTCATGGTGTGTATCGCACTTCATTAATGCCTACATGATTGTTACTGGGCTTCCCTTTGTTCAACTCAAAATCATTGCATGGTAAATCAAATCCAATCACAGCCTACTTAGGAACCAACCATCTACGGACATTGCAAAATCAAGCATTCGCAGAGGTAGGGCCACGGAACCCTAGCCTCGATATTAGCTGGAGACAGTTATTCCGCGCCGGTGGGGCCCTAGGGCCATGCCCTAATCCGTATCCGAGTCGGTCTCGAGCTGTAAACACGACCTAGGGTTTGACAGGGTGCGGGGTGTGTACCTCGGGCGAGAAGGTGCACGGGGAGCGGGTCCGGAGCTCGTCGGCCACGGTGGCCCACGCGGCGCCCCCATGCCGGATCACTGCGCCGCCCAGCACCAGCTCCTCCCACGTCCCCCAGCCGCCGCCGCCGCCCCCTCCCACCGCCACCACCACCATCGGTTGCCGGCTCTGGTCGGCTTGATCGCAGGGGAGACGGGCGGTGGATAGCCAGTAGGAGTCGGAAAGGGAGGTCAGGAGGAGAGGTGGACAAGGTGTCGGGTCGTCGCGGTTTCGGGGCCGGTGGTCTGGTTTCCCTGCCCCACCTGCTGTTTTTTCGGGTTTGGCTCGCGTCGCGTGGGTGATGGATTTTTCATTTTTGGTTCCTATTCCTGGGTTCGTGGTTTCGTTCGGTGCCTCGGACTCGGGCGGGAGAGAGCGCGCGTGACGTGGGGACGTTGGGTGGTGGGGCCCCACGCCGCTCCACTTTTTCCCCGTTGCGACCTTGGAGTAGTGCATTGGAATTCGGAATCGGATGACCCGACGGGGACTGAATTGGGTCCGTGTCGGTAAAAGCACTCAACTGGAATCGGATTGCAGGATTGGACTTTAAATCCGACAATCATGAATTGGATCAGAAAATTTTCAGCGGCATCTCAACAAACGGAGCAAAAGATAATGCCTCATGGACATGGAGTGAAATCAATCGTCAACACAGAGTGACCTTTAACACGAGCAAACTCTAATATATTTGCTTGACGTCTTGGTATTTACATATGGTCAAAATAACCACGCATAATCACACCAAGTGATCTGGAACCGGGCACTGAGAAATGTATTGTGCAGACTACAGAATTACAACAATAGTTTATTGGACTATAAATTGACCAGAGATTCAGAGGAGCATTGCTGACAATGGACAAAACGCGGTGCCTTCTTTGCATCATGCTACTGTGTTCCATCCATCTTGCGTTGGGCAAAATATCCTACTACCGTATCAATGATCATCAAAGGCGTCTTGCAACATGGCCAGAGAGAACTGAATCTGGCAAGAAGCCCCAAAACGTGGTGCATTCTTGAATTCTAATTTCTAAGCACGGGCCTCCACATTTTCCCCTTCCTTAAGGGATCGCCTACATGGAAGCCCTTGATACACTACTTACCATGCTGAGTTAAGTCTTGGACAACTTCAGACATTGGTGGCCTGAATTCCGGTTCATGCTGCATAAAGTTTAAGGTTAGTCACACTGCATACCTTCATGTGAAGAGGACGTCAGATGTAGGATCAAATGTTTTTACCTGAATGCAGCGGCTAATAATGTCAGCGAAACGGGATAATGCCTTTTCAGAACATTGTCCTCGAATGGAGGGATCAACCATCTTCGCTAAGGCATCAATATCATAGAGTCGAGAAGTGGCCCATCGCACTAGATGTTGTTCAGCTCGTGGACGTGAACTGCAAATTCCATTCCATGTGAAGTTGTTAGATTCCTTAGGTCAGAAATCATCTTCAAGAAAAATAAATGTGCCAGATGAGTGTAAAAAAAATGGATTTGTGTTCTTTATTTCTAATGCTACCTGTCATAAGGTTTACGCCCTGTTAGAAGCTCCAACATAACTACACCGAAGCTGTAAACATCACTTCGATCACTTACTGATCCAGATTCATGCACTTCAGGTGCTTCATAATGGAATAAGGTGCGTCCGGACAACTGTCATGCAAAGTAAAATAAAGGTTGGTTTATAAGAAGATGGAATAATAGCATTCCCTCCCTTCTCATCAAACATTGATTCTACTATTCACTACTTTGAAATGAATTGGCAAGTTTTAATGACAGCAATATATCATAAGTTCATAACCAAAACTCAAAGAATAGCATTGTATATGGAACTTTAATTTTAAAGCATCAAAATATAAAGAAAAAAATAGCCCAGTAAAATCACATGTGGTTACAAAATGGAAGGAGAAAACAAGCATGAGGTGGCAGGTACAGATGCAATAGAAAACTGGTATAGGCCAAAAAGCATCACGGCATAATGCATGTTTTAGTTATGTTTAGGTTCATATTTGTCTTAACAAATATGTTGAAGTACAAGTGAATTGTCCACAATCATACGATTTTGCAGCTAGTTATATAAATGTGGCCAATAGTCCAATACAAACCCGTTTTCAAGAGACTGAACTAACAAACAAAGATAAAATAGATAGGTCGGGATTAGCAAAATAGAAATAGCACCACCTTTAGTTACAAGCATCCTTAATAGGTAAGAAAAATCTAATATCAAAATATTGTGATTAGCATTATTTTACCTGAGAAACTGATTTTGATGCTAATGATGCAAGGCCACATTCAGAAATATGCACAACTAAGGTGCTGTTGAGAAGAACAACAGATGGTTCAAAATTTTGATGTACAACTGGTGGTTGGCAACTGTCATGAAGATGTCTGCAAAAAGGAAAGATATACACAGCATTTTCAGATATCTTTTCAAATCACAGCACACAAATAATAATTAAAAAAATGGGATAGGGGCAATTTTATGTCTTCATACTGTAATGCTTTTGCTGCCTCCGCAGCAACTTGGAGGCGCGCATTCCATGATAATGGCTTGCTTGAGTCATCTACATGACGAAGTTCATCATGTAGGGTCATCTTGCTACAGTACTCATAGACAAGTAATCGCTGCTCAAACTCCGCACAGTATCCAACAAGACCAAGTATGTTAGGATGCCTCAGTTCAGAAATCCTCACAACTAGCTCAAGAAAGGCATCTACTGGCACTTTTGAGTTAGAAGTGTCGATCTTCAAAATTTCCAGTAGCTGCTTAAAAAATGAATACATAATTTCAGAGCTGATAACTGTATCATGAACCCAAACTTGAAGATAACAATTACTTGAAATTTTGCTGAACCATTTACCTCTCCATCAGGAAGCTTTGCCAGATATACCTTACCAAACCTGCTGTCTCTTATGATATTTTCCTCACTGAAACTATTGGTATATTGTTGGAGGGATGCAATGGAGAAGGACTTGACAGTAGTCGTCGATTCCACCTTTTCAACTGAAGGTACTCTTCCCTTTCTTGTACGAACACTTGGTTTGACAATGACTTTTTCAGTCCACGGTGCAATCGGCTGCGGGGGATGCAGTTGGTCCTCAACAAAATTATCAGCCTTTTCCATATCAATCACATGCTCTTTTTTATTCATTGTAACAACCCCAGGTACAGCTGCCATGCGATTGTTTGTGTTAACTTCCGTATACTAAAATTTGCAGTGCACTGGAATAATAATTCTGGGTTCTGATGCAACTGAATTTGAACTCATTTACCTGCCATCGACGAATTTAAGTTCTGCCCATCCCTTCGACTTGGATCATAAACCACATTTGAAGTTTCTGCACAAAGCATTCTTTAAATGTAAACAGATTGAGGAAATGTGGGACCTCATATGCCAGTATATCTGTTAATTCTCCTGTATTCAAACTTGCACCGAAATAAAATAATAATAGTTACAATTGTGTGCATTTTCTTAGGGTTCAAGTCAGTCACCTGACGTTGGCATTTTTAACTTCAGATCCTCTCTTCCATCAGAAACAACATTCGAAGCTGCTAAAAATATTGAAGATGTTAAAGGTTAGAGGGAAAAATCAGAGAGAAAGAGAGATGACAGAATAGTGTCAAGAGAAAGAATTGGAACCTTTCTCAGCATTATTTTTGAGTTTTAATGGCGACTCCTTCATTTCTACCACTTCCTTGATTTTAGGCTCTCCAAGCTTCTGAGGTACCCTTCCTATCTTGTTTTTCATATAAATATCACATCTCGACTTTTTTTCTTTGTACTTGGATAAACAGTACATTGCAATTAGCACAAGAACTACTGCTAATACCACCCCAATAAGAATATATCCAACTAATTTGAGTGTAGTATGTTTTCCTGATCCTGAAGTGCTTCCACCTGGAACACTAGAAGAATGTGCAGGTTCTTTTGAGGGGACATGCCCTGTTGAAGGTGGGACTGATGGTAATGGTGTTGGCGCCAAGGGAGGCTGCGCAGATGGAGCTATGCTGGTATTGAATGGGTTCCCATCCTTCCTGGGCAGTAAATTAAATTATATGAGCACTGTGCACCCCCGCCAAAAAAAGGGCCAATCAAGGAGGTTCTGAGTTCTTACTTGAAGTTTGGCAAGTTCAGTAATTTCACAGGCACGGGACCAGAGAAAAGATTATTTTCAATGTTCCTGTTGGATTAAACAGTTGTCATGAAATACGGCAGAAATTTCATTTCATTAAAAGGCCAATTCAGTTACCCTTCAGGAAAAGAAAAAACAGAGAATCTATAATGGAGTGGGCATACAAATCTTGGAAAGGGAGATCTTGCAACACATTAAGGGTTCCGGATATTTGATTGTTCTGAATATGTCTGCAACGATTGTAGAAAGTGAGGTAATTAAACATAGTGAAAAGTCCATCACAAATGATAGTGCAATAGGCTTTCAGTACTCACAGGCTAGTCAATGCTGTCAAATTTCCCATTGAAGGCGGCAACGGACCGGTCAAGTTGTTGTCAGAAAAATCTCTAATTAAGAAGATTGATTGTCATTGATAAGTAGCTTTAAATTATCTGTAGAATAACATTGTTATCCAAGTTAGAGTGCTCTTACAAATTTGCAAGTCCAGTGAGTGCTGAAAATACATCTGGTATCACTCCAGTCAAATGATTGCTATTGAGTGACCTGCAAAATGAAAGAACATAGGAGGGACAGATTGAGAAACTATCATAGCAAGTTCTAATTTTCTAAAGGCCTGTGAATTTGTATTGGCAGTAATATACTTACATGCTTGTCAAAAGTGTAAGGGACGACAATGTACTTGGAAGGCTACCACTTAGCTGGTTAGCTGAAAGGAAACTGTGATTGACAGAAAGGTCTTGTAGTAAGAAAATAATCATGCAAGTGGATGGAAAGAGCAATAGAATGCTCGAGTAGACATACAATCTCTGCATTGTGAGTGGTAGACCATCTGGTATGGTCCCGCCAATATTATTGTTGCTGAGATCCCTAAATGAGATAAATCAGGAAGCGTTAAGTGCCAACTTGATAGAATGTCACGAATTCAGATCCCAAACAGACTGGCATCACAAACTCTACATATTGTCAGCTTACAAGGTGATTAATGATGTGAAATTCCCCAAAGTGTTGCCCAGCTGTCCACCCAAATTTGCACCGCTGAGTACTCTACAAGAAGAACATGCTGCATTGTTCAGTTAACCGAAAGGGCTCACTGAGTTGAAATACTTCAGGAAAAAAATATAAGCACTGATCATACATGGAGGTGATATTTGACGCCACACATGAAACACCCTGCCAGCTCTCATTGCAGGGGTCACCACCATTTGAAGTCCAATTAGGCAGCTGTGGTGCTTCAAGTGCCGTGTACAAGCCATTTATCGCAAACACTGACAAACATAAGAAAACACATAACATGGAAATTGTAGCGAGTCAGTAAATTAACCCATTTTCAGTATCATTGTAAGCATAAAACACACACAATCTCAATCTGCGACCCTGCGTGATCTTTCGAACCCATAGCGATGTGTGTGATGTACCATGACCGCCTGACGAATATTGAATCTTGAAAAATAGTGGCAGCAAACAAAAAAAGGATGTTGCATACCATCTTGCTCGTAGGTGTAGGGCCGACAAATCGGCAACGCAGAGAGTAACAGCAAGATGGCGGCGGAAGCAATCAGCGCTGATAGCTCCCGCAAGCGCCCCGGGTTGCCCATCACCAGAAGCATATCCGTGAGCAATCCTCCAATGCGAGCATTAGCAGACGAGCGACCACAGTGGATGAAGGTGGCAAACTCAGTCACATTCCTCTCTGGTCTTTGGACACACTGATCAATTATGAGTCCCTGAGGATTACAGCCTGGGGTCGAAAAAAAAAAGAGGGAACAGTAGAACGCAGGGGACAAAGGAACAGAGAGGCGCACGAGAAAGTAAACAATGCTGATGCAGGAAGATTCTCGGAACGCAAAAAAAAAAAGGACCAAAATTCAGTATCAAACTCACAACATCTGAAGGGGAAAAAATAACTCTCACTTCTTGCGGTTACGCGTGTTAAAGAAATCACGACGCTTCCTATACTGCAATTGTTTTCAGGCATCTCTTCTCGCCTGTGTGTGAAAGCATCACTTGCAGTTCGCTTAACATATCTTTCCAAAAAAAAAAAAATCGCTTAACGCCTTAACATCTTCTTCGCATGGAAGAGAGCACACAGGTGGGAAGGCAGAGCGGGGACGAGAGAAGAAGTAGAGCCGGAAAAACCAGGGACACCAAACAACCTCTAGAATCCAGAAAGAAGAAAGGAGAAGAAGAAGCCCCCCATACCTGCATCAGGATCCTGTCTCCAAGGCAGCACTGCACTGCGCAGCAAGCAAGTACAGTCTCTGCCGCCGCCTCCGACGCCGACGCCGCTTTACCGAGACGCTCGCCACCGAAAGCAAGCGACCAGCAGCAGCGAGTGCGGTCCTCCTTTTCTCGGGCCGCGTTTTAAACCCCACTCCCCGAGCTCGGAAAGACTTGGCCGCTAAGGATTCGCTCTGCTCGGTGGGGAGTGGAGGAGGAAGAAGAGAAAGGAGGATGGCGAGACAGGGACGGGGATAGATAGAGAGCTGGGTCGTCACGCACTGCACAGATCTATCTATCCGCTCGTCGCAGTCCGTCGCGGGCGCCGGAAAAGGAGACAAAGCGGGGGCGTGTAACGCGGCGGGACTGCGGCGAGGAGGGGGAGCGTCTGTGTTGAGTGCGCGCAGGCGAGGCGAGCGGAACAGCCATTTCCTGCAGACGCTGGGGCAGGGCCGCAGGGGCTGTGGGGCAGGCAGGAAAAGGACAAGCCCCCACCGAAACGAGCTGCTTTTGAATTTGAGAGAATTTCCTCGTTGCCATCAAAACTTAGGCATTCTTTACTTCTCGCTCGTCAAATATTTGGACACATACGTAGATGATTAAATATATATTAAAAAATAATTAATTACATAGTTTGTGACTAATTTACGAGATGAATCTTTAAGCCTAATTAGTCTATGATTTAACAATATGGTGTTATAGTAACACATATGCTAATGACGGATTAATTAGACTTAATAAATTCGTCTCGCGGATCACTTACGGATTCTGTAATTTATTTTTTTATTAGTATTCGAATACTCCATGCGACACACCATGTGACACCCTAAAACTTTACGTCCTAATTTAAACAAAGCCTTATAATACTTCCTTGGTTGTCATAAAAAATTATAGCATTCCTTGGTTGCCATCACTTTGTAATTTTTTATTCCTTCATTGCCATCACCGTTACATAAATGAGTTTTGTTTACTTAACTGCCATCTATTTAGATAATTTGGTTCCTTATTTGCCATTGAGCTGACGGAAAGGCGTGATCCTTGTTCACTTTGGAAAAATGATTTCCGGTCTTGCCCCTGCCCCTGTCCCAGATGAACGCATTGGCCAAAAAGCCCAGCAATCCTTCTTGCCCCATTATTTTAGGGGGAAAAAACAAACACGGATCCAAGTACCCGATCCACGGCCTCGTTCGTTTCGCTGAAAAACAAGCCGAAACACTATTCCGGCTGATTTGATGTGAGAGAAAAATATTGTTCTGGCTGAAAAAAAATAAACTTGAAAAGTACGGATTATAAGAGAAGCGAACATGGCCCACATCTGCTTGCACCCTGATCTCGAGCGCGACACCACGGCGAGACCTGCGCGGGCGGACCTCGTGCCGCCAAGCGCCACTGCCTCCACGCACGAACCGCGCTAAGCGCATGCCGCCATCACGCAGACTAGCGCAGCCACGCCACCATAGTGCCGCACAGCCAGCGAAGCGCCGCCACCGCAAGACTAGCGAGCCATGGCCACCACAGCCAGCAGCAGATCACATTGAAGCGCCGAGCGCCACCGCCGGCACTAGCGGGTCGCGCTGCGTGCCGGGTGCCACCGACGCCATGCGTGGGGCGCCACCAACCGGACGCCTCCTCGACCCTGCCACCGATCGATGCCTCAACGCCACCACCATCCGAGGCCTCAACACCGCCACCCACCGGGCGCCTCGCCTCTCACCTTGGCCCCCACCGACCGGGCGCCTCCTTGTACTGTTGTACATGGTCTGAATTCTGTTGGAGAAAATTCAAGAGAGGGGTAAAACTGTCTTTTCCCATCTAAGTCTAACGGAATGTGTCTGTTGTTCACGGCAATGACAACGAAGGAATCAAGAATTACAAAGTGATGGAAAACAAGGGAAAGCTATAATTTTTTATGGCAACCAAGGAAGTATTATAATTTTTTATGGCAATGAGGAAATTTTCTCTTTGAATTTACCGCTGCTGCCGCTGCCAGCGCCAGTGTCCATCGGCTCGCCCCTGGGAATGAGCAGTGCTGGCGACAGCAGTTGTACGGAGCAGCTCATGCGATTTTAGGTTGAAAAAAAAAGTCTTAGCGGGGCCTAGGCATAAGGAGGCGTGTGAAAATACGATGGATTCAACAGGTCCCGAGTGACTGAGTGAGCCCGCTTTCCGTTCGGCTTTCGATTTCCGGCAACGTTGATGGCGTTGGCGCAGGCCAATGGACAAAATGGATGGGGTCACGGAATGATCGCGTACTCCCTCCTACCTCGCGTGAGCCTTTTGTCCCCTCTTTCCAGCCCGATTCCAGCGTAAATCACCTGGGCGCAATTCCATTCACGTCAGGTCATCTCTGAACCTGCGCATCGGCATTTTTCATCCGTTCTGACCGTGTGTCGTCGCCGTGCACGACTGCACGCGAGCGGGCGAAAAGCACGTGGAATTTCCTCCCTCTACTTTCTCCGTCCGTGCCATGCAGAAATAACACAGTTCCTTTCCTACCGGCATTCCCAGCAAGGCAGACATAGAAGAAGAAGAAGAAGAAGAAGAAGAAGAAAAGGGCACTCGAATTCCTACAAACGAAGAGCATCATATTCCAACCAGAACCAGCAATGCAGCAAATCGCACGAGGCTAGGCCGTCGGATCCACGCCAGAAAGGAAAGGTGACGAAGCTTTTTGAGCTCTTGGCGTGCATCCGCTGGGCGCTGTACGGTGCGGTGCAGTGTGATTGGCTATCGTCGTCAAGTGGCGTGTTTGTTAAGTATAATCGCACCCACAACATATTTTAGTCGTGGCCAGTGATGGACACATGGTGGATACCCGTCGGTTTCCGGCGGTAACGGCTAAATGGCCCTGCCTGTACCTTTGAAAAGTTAATTCAGCCGTTCCTCTCCTAAAGCTTATCTATGTCCTATCGAATGTTAAGACACATGAAGTATTAAATATAGACTAAAAAATAACTAAATATACAGTTTGCGACTAATTAACGAGATAAATATTTTAAGCCTAATTAATCCATGATTTTATAATGTGATGCTACATTAACATATGTGCTAATGATGAATTAATTAGCCTTAATAAATTTATCTCGTGGATTAGTAACGGATTCTATAATTTGTTTTTTATCAGTATACGAACATCTCGTACCGCATCTTTGACATCCCGTGTGACACGCTAAAATTTTAGGGTCCTGGATCTAAACCATGCCTAAACAATGGCCAGTGCTAGGGGTCGTCGGTCTAGTAGCCGTTGTAGCCGTGTCAGTCCCGGCGGCCGACGATCCGCCTCGAGTCGCCGAACTGACACGACAGGACCGCAGCGCCGCATGTCCAAATCCTGACCGAATCCAAATCACGGTGGATTTTATTACTGCGATCCGAGTAAAAAAAAAGAATGGACTTTATTACAAGTGGCATCAACGAGGAGTGACGGCGGCTGCCCTCACGTGCATCGCTAACCCTAACACAGTCGGTAATCACAGATCATCTTGTCCTCGCCCGGTCGCCCCGCATCCCGGGAAAGTTAATTACGCTTAATCCAAGTTGCCCTGTTGTACGGCGCGACAAGGCCGGAGGCGCAACCGCGCAAGTGAACAGGCGGCGGCGAACGTCGAGGCCGCGAGGGCATTGGATAATCGGTAAATCGGGTTGGTGAAACAGTGGCCCGGATTCCGCCTGTCGTCTCCGTCGGCCCGTCGTGCTGCAGCGGCCGCAATTCTGCCGTACGGAGTAGCAGTAGATCTGGCTAGCGGCTGAGGTCTGACCAGTCGGGCTCGGCACGGTTACGGTCTCGTTGCCTCGCGGTTGCAGCGTGTTTTTGTCACTGCGTTGTCAGGTTGGCTGAACAAGAGACGTGACTAAAGTCTAGGGTGTCGTGTTGGGATGTCACGTCGAGTGTATAATAAAATAAATTATAGAAGCTCTTGTCAATCCACGAGACGAATTTATTAAATCGAATTAATCTATTATTAATATATATTTATTGTAGCACCATATTATTAAATTATGAACTAATTATGTTTAAAAAATTCGTCTCGTAAATTAGTCTTAATTTATGCATTTAATTTCGTAATTAGTCTATATTTAATATTTTATGCATGTGTCAGGCTAATAGAGCCCGCACGCTGACAGACTACCGAATGACACCCTGGGCCCTTGCCGCTAATGACTGCCTCGGAGTTTGGACTGTCGAATTGCCTGTCTCCTCGAGAGTGTCGTCTGACGTACCGGGTCGCCCGTCACCACCTAACTTGTCAAGGTTCAGCGTCGACACGAGACGGCGTAGTCACCTGACAACGGAAAGCTAGCGAGCCGCTTCTCACGGTTGCAGTCATACCGTTCTGCAATTGATTTTGATTTTGACCTTACAGCCTTTATACCGTATCACTATCACGCGAGCGAAAGCGACCGCAGTTACCGAAAGGAAAACAAGGTGGGCGCTACTTGACCACACACGCCGCCTGCGCCTGGCACCTTCGTCCTTGGCACACCTTTGCCCACGGTGAATGTTTTCAGTCTTAGGGCTTGTTGGTTTAATAAGTCAGGTGATTGAAAACCAGAAAGACTTATAAGTCATGTATGTTTTGTCGTAGATGACTTATAAGCTTCATTAAAGGTATAAGCCCCATGCAAAAAAGGGTGACTTATAAGTTTTAAGCGAGGTAAACCAACTTAAAACTTATAAGCAGGGTGATTTATAAGTTGGTGGTGTTTGGCAAAATAAATCACTTTTTCATTTTTTAACTTATAAGTATGTGACTTATTTGGAACCAAACATGCCCTTATAAACCTGTGGGTCCTTTCTCTGCTTCGAGAAATAAGGAAAGAATGCAAATATGCAGTACTACTTTTGAACGTCGAACACAGGAGGCACTCGAAAACCAATCATCAGACAGAATCAGACGAAAAGACTTCCTGAGATTAAACATCTGGAGGTCCACATTTGCCAAGCGAGTTTACGTTACATGCTCCATCAGGCATCTACTACGTAACACACAGCAAGTGGGATCAGCAGCAACAGCTCCACGGATCCACCAGCCGCCGCTCGTCCGCCACAATGCAGCAGCAGGGGGCAGTAGTATAAAACTTGCTTCTCGTAAACGATCGTAAATTTCCAGCTAGAACAGATATTTTTCTCTCACATCAAACCAGCCAGCAATAATAATCCACGATCGTATACGATCGTTTCAGCCCCAGCCGAACAGGCTGGGGCCTAAACCTGTACAGATACAGAAAGAGAGGAGAGAGAGACTGTCTTGGCTGTCATGCTCCTGAGCCACCAGAGACGGAGTGGATCATCGGCAATACACCCACAGAGCACACGGCTGCTCCTCTACAGACTTTGGTGGTTGACTGACAACAGCCGGGCACTCTCAATGTGGTGTGTGCTACAGCAACCCTAACTAGGGTTTGACGAGGAACCAGTGAAAGGAGGGGACTGGTGTGATGGCCATCGGATCCTCTCTGGGGGGCAGGGAGCAGGGGCAGGATGCGCGATGAACGTTGGCATGTCTTGCCCTGGCATCAGAACTGAGACACCTTTGGGGTAGACAGGTATCTGCAAGCATCATGAACAAAGTGGTCAACGAGAATGTCTCAAGTGAGCCCACTGTGGCCAATGTGGAAACAAAAAAGTGATATATTTCGATGGAAGCATGATACATTTTAGTAGAAACAAACATGCGAGATATTTTCATGGAACTAATCATGATATTTCATACAAGAGCAAATGCTAACTTCATGATAATGAAGTCGAAAGGCTTCTACTTTTCACAAGAGGTTCTTGTGTAAACTGGCAAAAACTACAAGGTCGAGGTATAGGGCAGTATTTTCACACAGATGAGTTCTGCAGTGGCACAATAGATTATATGAGTTTTCTGCACTTGGTAACTTCGCTATGTCAGGAGAAACCAGATCTAGAAGAGGCTATCAATCCTACTTGTAGTCACTATAGTTAAATAGGCAAAATGGTTCAGGCTAGATCCTCTAGTCTCCTGCAACATAGTTTAGCATTTAGTTTTTCCATACCTCCCCCAGTTAACAATAAAAGTCGATCCTGTGCACTGGTAAGCAGGAACTAATGCTGAACATGAGTTGAATACAGGTAGTTGTACTGATGCAATTACAAATTACAGCTTGTCAATTGAGTGTGCTAGTTCGCTTACAAATTACAATTAATGTTCTTCTTTCACCACTGATGCAATAGAACACAAGATGATGTTAGAAAGCAGTTAGTGCAAAATTTTGATATGAGTTATCAAGAGTACTGCATAGTGCATACTTGTACATTACATTGTCTGAACTCCGCATAGCAAAGCAATAGACTTGAAACTGAAAATAAGGACAATGGATCTATCTGCTAGCCAGCTTCTACAGTAAACTGAAATGGATGTTTCAGTAGTTGGATTGGAAACGTTCTAATTTTTCAAATTGTTAGAAGAACGTAATTTATATTTGTGGTTTGGTACACCTCTCACGTGAGTAATTTTGTTTTATCTCCATGGTCTAACCCACTACTCCAACAGTAACTAAGTTCAACTGCTGATCAATCTTTTCCTCAAAAAAACAAAAAACAAACAAACAAAACTGGTGACCCATCTTAATAATAAGATGCTCCACATTACCACATTACTAACAAATTTCAAGCAGCAAAAATGATGACTGCACCTGGGACCTTGTGTAGTTGTGGTCCTGTGGACAACCAAGGTTGCAATTCCTAAACTACACTGGGACCAAATTTTGGTGTGGCTGCAGACAAGGATGGGCCCTTGTCTGTTTGCTGCTGTCAGACGAATTTCCCTCTCAATTCCATAACCCATGTTCTCCTTTCTGAAGGATTATAGGCCCCAATCTTTTATGGCTCATTCGCTATATATTCCTTCAGAGAAATATGAAGATTCTTGTGACAAAGTATACAGATGCATTAACTGAACTTAGCCATAGGATAAAAATTGGGGAAGATAGAGGGAATTGCATTCAAGGATAGATGCTAAATCGAACATTCTTGGTGCCGTTATCTACTCTAACCTCTCACGGCACAGAACAAGTACTTCTCCCCCACTTTCCAGAGACCAGTATAAATGGCGGCGCTACCGAAAGAAATTAGTAAGAACGAAGTTTCTAAAAAAGTATTAATGCAAAAGCAGAGTATGTACATGATGGGCATATATGAAGTTCGAGCAATCAACAATGGCATGCCCACTAATAAAATAATTAAACAACATGTCCTGATCTCTCGGATTACAACAGTCCTAGTAGAACTCAAGTAGTCAAGTGCATGGTATTGAACAACACCTTCTATGTTTTGACAACACCAAAACGTCTACTAGAATGTGAATATCAGATAAAAATAGCTTCCTTTGCCTTTTTTTAGTAATGCAATGCATGACCTTTCCCTGTACACAGATAAACACCTATTATTATGCAGCGAATCATAATAGGGGTGGTACTAATTTCTAAACCTACGGGACTGCAGTTTTACGATCTCCTTAACGGCCAATTATTTAACAGCTACAGGTAAGACATCATTGCAGTTTCATCTTCCTCGCTAGGACTAGATGCCTTCGCTCCACTCCACCTCTGCATTATGTTCGAGCATAGCAGAGACTAGAGGACAACAAGAACCGGGGTCCGACAAGATTCGCAATCAGGTCCATCAGATGCGCAGGCACACAGAGTAGCGAAAAGCAAGCCACGCGAGAACAGAAAGCTGAGGAAAAAAGGCTAGGCGGCGGAATGATTAAAGCGTGGCGCCATGGATGGGCGGGAGGCGAGGAGAGCGTGCGGGAACAGTGTGCCGTTGCCAGTACCTCGAGGGGCGCGTGGCCTTGGAGCTTCCTCGCCGCCTCGAGATCCGCGCCGGGGGCGGCGCCGCGCTCGCCGCCGCGGCCGAGGAAGAGGCGGAGGCGGCGGAGGATCCCCCGGGGCGGCGCGTGCCCGGGCGCGTGGGCCGGGGGGCGGAGGAAGTGCTCGAGGATGGCCATGGCGAGGAACATGGACACGAGGATGGCGGTGGCCACGAACCCGAACGACACCGCGCTCACGCCGCTGTCTAGCTGCCGCCACCGCATCTCCTCCGCCGCCGCGGCCGCGGCCGCAGCAGCCGCCGCCCTCGCCCCCGGCCCGGCCGCCGGGACCATCGCAGGCCCGCGCGTCACGGCAGCCATTCTTGTTCCCGTCGCCTGCGACGCCGGTCACGGCCCGCGATGCGCCATTGTTGGCTCCCTTCGCTAGCACCTAGCAGTGGAGGTGTGGAGTGGCTTGGCTTCCGAAACCGAAACCTTTATGGAGTTCCTGGCTTTCTCTGCCGCGTCGTCGCGCGCGTCGCGTGGGTCAGCGGGGGCGTGGGAGAGGATTACAGGAGGGGGCTGCGAGGAGAGAGGGGGGCCGAGCACGGAATACACGACGCGACCCTTTTCCGCTGCGGCGCTGAGAAGCAAAGCCAGAGGGGAGAGGCCCTTTCGGAGAAGTACAAGGCGGAGCAAGGGGCATGAAAGGCATTTCGTCGCGACGGTGTCTCGCGCCGCGCAGAGGTTCATCGGCCGGGCCCCGGGACACGGGCGCGGCTCGGCGCCTCGTCTCCGATGTGTTTTCTCTCTGGTGCCAGAATTGTTAAAATTGCATGCATACTGTATCTATATATGGGCATGCAGCCCGAGCCCGTCAACCCAGCACGAGGCCTATTTTTTTGGCCCGGCCCGATGGCCAGCGGACCCAGGCAGGCCATGCCTGGGCCTTATCCCAGGCACACGGCTGGCCCAGCATTGCCCGCAATTTGGTGAGAGGCCCATGACCACCCTGACCTACTAAGAGTAAGAGCCCACCAGCTAACAACTCTGCTAAAAAAAAAAGCCCACCAGCCGCCATCACCCTAACTCTAACTTCCTTTCCCCAATCCACCGATTCCACCCCTCCTCACACCGCATTCTCTCACTTGCGAGCCACGCCCGCGGGAGACACGGAGAGAGCGATGCGCTCACGCCCGCCCTCTCCCGACGCCGCCAACCACCACCTCCGTACCTGGCTGCACCGCTACGGACGCTGGAAGCGGGCGCACTACCGGCTCAAGAGGCTCCAGCGCCTCCTCTGCGACGCCATCGCCTCCTTCCTCGGTCTCTCCCCTCTCAAGTCGTCGCCGAGCCGGCCCCCAGCCCGAGCTCCTGCGGTCGAATCCGGCGTGGGCATCGGCCATAGCTGTGGCCGCGCGGAGGCACCGCGACGGAGCCGCCCTTGAGCGTCGGAGGCACGGCACCCAACAGGGTGTGCTTGAGCCGTCGGCAAGGCACGAAGCCTAGGGTAGCACGGCCCGATGGCACGTTGGGCCGTGCCTGGCACGGGCCATGCCGTGCCGGGCCGGGCCGGCCCGTTGCCCATCTATAACTGTATCCACCGTGGTGGCATGCATACATGGGTCGGATGATTGCCACGTGTCCCACGAACAGATCTGACACGTCTTTGACTTAGGCCAATCGTGTGGAGCCCTGCTTCCAGTCCGCGCAAAAGAAAGGGAACCAAGCCATGGACACGTGTCTGTTAACTAATGCATGTATGCATGCCACCACGGTGGATCCGGTATGCATGCAATTTTTTTCCTGAAATAGTGGCATGCTCGCCTCCCACGAAAATGTACTCCGGTAGATCTCTTCTCTCGACCCTAACTGCAGTTAATCTCACTAGTCGCTGGAACCTGGAAAGCTCGTCCCGTAACCGTTATGGCCAAAGGTTCACTTCATGCCAACGGCGGCTTGCGACGTTTGGCAATAACCGTAATGTATTTTAACCCATGGCACAAAAGTGTGTGGCTGTGTGCCATTATTATCTGGAGTACTCTATTATCATTAGTGTAGATGAAGAGTTGTAACCGAAGAAAAAGGATGAGGGGGGAAGAGGATCGACATAAGGCCTGAATATAAAGTGTGCATACATGTTATTTACTCCCTCCATTCTAAATTAGAAAATATTTTGATTTTTCTAGATACATTGATTTTACTTGTATATTTCGACAGAATGTATATCTATAAAAGTCAAAACCACTTATAGTTTAGAACGAAGGCAGGTCAAATTAATCTGTGGCGTGCTCAAGTAATTGTATCTGATACCATTTCGAGATGGCACATTGGCATTGATGTTTAAAATAAGTTGTATACTTTTTTCATACAAAATCTAATTTCATTAGTGTAAAATCATCTCTCATAAAAAATATTTCGTATTTGGTGAGAAAAGGCTACTTAGCTACCCATGTATTATGGTATGGTTTTGTAGAGCTCTGGGAGGCTCATATTCCCATCACTCTATGCAATGCAGTGAGGAGTTGTTTTTTCTCTCTTCTTATAAAGTGAACTAGGAGTCGACATAGTCACTATTGGTCTGTTTGGCATGGCTTCGGCTCTGGCTTCAACAGCAACTTCTGTGCTTTGGCTCTAGCTCCGACAGCAACTTCTGCGGAGGAGGCAAATCAAACACATTACGAAGAGAAACCATTTTTTAGACGGCTCCGTTCGGCTTACCCCATATTTGGTTTGTTTAGCTTGTTTTTTCAACCGGAACAGTGTTTTTCTCTCACAACAATTTAGTCAGAACATTATTTTTCAGCTAAGGAGCCAGAGCCGAAGTTTTTTTCTTGAGGAGGAGCTGTAATTGGTTACTCAAGTGCTCCATCTCCTCTGATGAAGTAATTGAGGACGTGTCATATCAAACAAACGCTACTTTTATCCTCGTCCGCTCCAACTCCTTTATGCACCGTAGCAAAGAGGTGGAGCCTCGAGCCATGACAAACAGAGCCCATATTATTTCTCTTTTTAGGCTGTGTTTAGTTCGCGAAATTTAAAAATTTGGCTACTATAGTAATTTCGTTTTTATTTGACAATTAGTGTTTAATCATGAACTAATTAGGCTCAAAACGTTCGTCTCGTGATTTTCAATCAAACTATGCAATTAGTTTTTTTCGTTTACATTTAATGTTTCATGCACGTATCACAAGATTCGATGTGATGGCTACTGCAACACTTTTTGAGAATTTTTTTGAACTAAACACAGCCTTAGTATTTTATTCGCTCGGCGTGACATAAATATGACCCTAGTTGGATTATCTAAAGAGCTTTCACCAGCCCTACGCCTCTACGTGATCTAGATAGAACCGTAGCTTTCGGAAGCAGCTTTTAACAATCTCTAGACAATTTTACAAGTCATCCCTCCTGGCTTTTGAACTTGGATCTTGCGATTCAGGCCTGCTTTGGTTTCGGCTGATTGGACTTTTAGTATGTGTTTAGTCCGTCTTGAATGCTACTTTTGTTTTTTATTTGGCAATTAATGTCTATGGTTAATTAGCCAAAACGCTACTCTGGTTTCAATCAAACTGTGCAAGGCTTTTTTCGTGCTTTTAATATTCATACTGTAGAGGATGTGATAGGTCAAGTTTTTTATTTTTAGAAAATGTTTGTTTTGTTTCAAAAAGATTTATTGAAAATGATATGAAGTATGAACTGACGTACCAACTGTCCAACTCCAGTTTTCTAAATAGCTGACAACTATAAATTCAGTATCCAATGATTTATAGTTACCATACATATAGTACAATTGGACCATGTTTGAAGGGTGTTTACACCAGAATTTGGAAGAAGAGTCGCAGAGACTCAAAAGTGCCTAAGATCATGTCATCAAGAAATTAATTGCGTGCAAATCGGAACCAGCTGATTCGGATGAAAAACTGGAATCAGCTTTTTTCAGATAGCGCCAGCGGATAACGACAAAGGCTACGTTCGGCGTCAGGATGAAACATGTTGGACTCTAAAAAAGGAAAATATTAGACTCCAAGTTATCTTAAATTAGGAATGTTTTCTTTAGGGTCAAAAATTATGATGAGTCATGCTTGAACATGAGTCATGCGCAGGTCCCGGGTATAAATATCAAGCCCCGATTATTGTAAAAAAACAACAATCAATCCAATATACAAGTCATTTACTTTTTTGGCTCCGGCCACCCTTAGGAGTAGGAGTAGGAGTAGATCTCGACGAGTTCTTCAGTAAGTACGACTGCATCGATCCGGTCGACCTCCACTGCTTGTTGTAAGTACCGTCATGACTTATACCTCTGTTCGTACGGTTGTATCGATCCGGTCGACCTCCACTGCGACTCTAGTATAAGTTAGTTATCGATTCTTGCCTAGTTTAAGTATGGCTGCATCGATCCGGTTGACCCCCACTGCATGAACTAGATCAAGGTCAAGTTATCGGCTCTACCTTAGGATGGCAGTCTTTGATAGATTCATTAAGTTATCGATATTGCTTATTGCCTTCATTATTTATCTAATTACAGCAATATCACTCTGCCCGATTGGGATTGATCTAGATCGGCCTTATATTCTGTTTAACCCATCGTTTGCTAATCTAAAATTGATCTAATCTACACTTTAAACGATGATTTATGTTTTATCGGCTGTTTTATGTCAATCCTGATCGTGCATAGCGTGCGGTTAAGGCATGTTGCGTTTGAGTGGATTTATTGGCTAGCGAGAACCGTTTCATGGCCCGTTATCATGGCCTGTGTGATTCTGCCTCACACCCCACTGTTAGCACCGTGGAGTGGGAACCTTTATTTGATAGATCTATTCCTAATAAAGCATGACTTTAGCCTAAATCAGTTGTTTTAGCCGATATCGAGTACTTTCACGAACAGTTCGCATCACGAGACCGTTGAATTAAAGATATGTTGAAAGATGTGTTAGCCCCATGATCTTGTTATTGTATTACGGCCTACATAATTTTGCCTCATGCCCCACTGATATTAGTAATGAGTTAGGGTCGTCGAGTCTATTGTTATTTCTACGGCCTGCATGATTCTGCATCATGCCTCACTGGTCATAGCGATAGATGAGATCTAACATGTTCATTAGATTTATCTTTATTAAACGGTTAAATGGTGTTAAATTATTTCTTTATATAAAAAGGAGTTTGGTTACTTGTAATCATTGGCTCAGCATAAACCGATCATTATTGACATCTTATTGCCATTGATTAATATTTATGTAAAAATGACATTTATCCTGAATGATAATCGATTCTTCTTATGCAACCAAATGAGCTTTAACCGATCTATTCTCATGAATATGCTGGAATCGACTATTTAGTCGATCTCCTTTCAT